TAACATTTATTTGTAAAGATTATTTACATACATTTGAAATATTAAATATGTACAAAGGAGATATTGAATCATTAATATCATATTCTAAGAGAAATGAATTAATAAGAGATAATAGAAGTTCATTTGATATTAATAACTTTCAATATATTAAATCATTAATTGATAAAATTATTATTTCTGATGAACTAGAGGTACATGAAGAAAAAGAACAACTTAAAGAAAAGGAAGTAGAAGAAGAAATAGAAACATCACCAATTCAAGAAGATACTGATGAATGGGTAACTGTTGGAAAAGGAGTTTCATGGAAAAAGATCAAACAAAATAAAAAACAAAAAATTAATGAAATTCTTATAGTAGAAAAAGATAATGAAGAAGAAGAAGAAAGTGATGAAGAACCAAAAAGCAAAGAGACTAAAGAAAAAGAAGTTAAAGAAGAAAATAAAAAAGGAAAAGAAATAGGTAGTACTGAAGAAGAAAAGAAGGAAAATAAAAAGGTTTTGTCTAAAAGAGAAATTGAAAAGAAGAAAATGAAAGAAATGGAAGAAAGACGAAGAGAAATGGAACTTGAACGACAAAAAAAAGAAGAAGAGGAATTAAGAAAACTTGAAGAAGAACAAATGAAAGAAGGAGATGAAAGTGATAATGAAAGTAGTGAAAAAACCAAAACAAAAGAAAGTAATGAAATTAATAAAAGAAATGAATCAGAAAGAAGTCATTCATCAAGTAAAAAGAAGAATAATTCAAAAGGAAAAAAGAAAGGTTCAAAGAAGAAAAGTGGAACCAAAAAACAAAATGTTTCACCTTCTATTAATGAATCTAAAAAATCAGAACTGTTAGAACCATCATCTAAACCACCCTCTCGTCCTATTCCTAATAATAAAAGAAGAACATCTATTGATCCATTAGAACAATTAGAAAATAAAGTAAAAGAATTACATAAAACATATTTAATGCTTGTACAGAAATCTAATATTCAACTTCAAGTATTAAATGAACGAAAAATAGAAATTCAACCAATAACATGTCAATATCCAGATTCATATTTTATGGTTGACCATTAAT